ACGTCAACACTGGGTCAAAGGTATCTGGTGAAGGAGGCTATATACATCAGTGCCCATCACCCTTCACTGAACAGTGACGGGGGCCGACATCGTCTACCAGATACCTTTGACCCAGTGTTGACGTCACACTTCAAAGAAGCCACGTGACAATCCTTACTGGGTCAGTCTACTGAGAAAGACCAGAGTGACTGGTCAAAAGCTCTAGGTGAGAGAGCTTTTTTGTTTTTGGTCTAAAGTTTTAAATCTAAACACATAGGAAAACGACTCAGAGGATTTCTAGTATCCAGAACCGTGCTTTATCCAGAGCAATTCTCAGGTATGGTTCTAGGAAGTCCACGCGTATCCAGCGTCTGGGCAAACGTGCGTTCTTCGATACGCAGAGACTATGCAGATCCGTGCCATCCCAACGCTAACCGATTCAGACACAGAAGTGGATAGGCACAGTTTAAAATAGGATAAAGGCTATCCAGAACCGTGAACTAGAAAGATATCATGTGCAACAAAAACACAGCAAAATAATGTTTTCTTTCTGCGAACAAGTTTAACATAAATATTGGAGGAAAACACTGTACGAAATCTCCTCTTACCCATCAAAGTAGGTGTTGAAGTCGACAGGCGTCAGGTCGGTCACCAGGTTTTCTGGGTATCTCATCTGGACATCAAACAACAGGGGCGTGGCCACCTCGTCATAGAAACCCTGAAACATATGTGTTTTTTAATGTTGATTGTAAATACCAATGTACTAACCCTAACCCTTTCAGAAAAGAAACAAACAAACAAACAAACCTTGAGCTGCAGCGTGGCGTCCGAGTCCTCGTATATTCTCCGCCCCAGCCCGCGGTTTCCCGGGTACTAACCCTAACCCTTTCACAAACAAACAAACAAACAAACAAACAAACAAACAAGCAAACCTTGAGCTGCAACGCGGCGTCCGAGTCCTCGTAAATCCGCCGCCCCAGCCCGCGGTTTCCCGGGTACTAACCCTTTCACAAACAAACAAACAAACAAACAAACAAACAAACAAACCTTGAGCTGCAGCGCGGCGTCCGAGTCCTCGTAAATCCGCCGCCCCAGCCCGCGGTTCTCCAGCGCCATTTTCTCCAGGAAGGGGAAGTCCACGTCATTGCCGAACCCCAGGCAGAACAGCGACATCTGCTCACGGATGGCGTTCTTAACGTTCACCTGGAGAAAGGCACGGAACAAAGCGTTACCGGAGCGTAATGGATGCGTTACCGGAGCGTTACGGGAGAGTTACAGACGCGTTACGGCAGCGACATCTGCTCACGGATGGCGTTCTTCACGTTCACCTGGATAAAAGGCACAGGAGCGTTACGGGCGCGTTGCGGATGCGTTACAGACGCGTTACGGACGCGTTGCGGATGCGTTACGAGTGCGTTACAGACTCGCTGTGTGTGCGTTTCAGACGCGTTACGGAGAGTGACTAATAGGACGGGGGTGCGTAATGGTAGCGTTATGGGCGCGTTGCAGTAGCGTTACTAACAGAGTGACTAATAGGATGACATAAGTGATTACCATGATGTTCTTTGTTCTGGTCTCGCCAGAAGACGAGAGCCCGTCCGTGAGGATGATGATGAGTGAAGCGGGAAACAGAAGCGTTACGGGCGCGTTATGGGCGCGTCACTGGAGCGTTACGGGCGCGTTACGGGCGCGTTTCAGTAGCGTTACGGGGTGTGACTAACAGGATGAGTGGTTACCATGATGTTCTTTGTCCTCGTCTCTCCGGAAGACGGCAGCCCGTCCGTGAGGAAGATGATGAGGGAAGCGGGAAACAGAAGCGTTACGGGTGCGTTGGGGGTGCGTTACGGGGTGCGTTACGGAGAGTGACTAACAGGATGACATGAGTGGTTACCATGATGTTCTTTGTCCTGGTCTCCCCGGAAGACGGCAGCCCGTCCGTGAGGAAGATGATGAGTGAAGCAGACCGAGGCGAGTCCGGCCGCCCGTCCGTCACTCTCCGCAGCAGGTCTGCCGCGTCTAGTATCGCCTGGTTGATGTTCGTGCCTACAGAAAATAAAACACGTTTAGACTTTTCAGAGCCAACACCAAAAGTTCTCCCACCTAGAGCTCTGGTCTTCCTCGGTAGACAGTAAACTCTTAACTCTAAACATGTAACTACCAAAATAAAACACGTGTTTTTCTTGGTTTTTTTTTGTATACACAACCGGTAAGAACTCTCATCCTGTTAACGTTTCGAAGCCTGTCCTTCCTCAGAGGTTCGGACTAGAGAAGCAGTACGCCAGTTAGAAGCTATGAAGAAGGTGTCTGATGCACCGAAACTTAAGCAAGCGGAGAGTCATTATCTGAGAAGCCCCAATGTCCCATCTGATTTAACACAAGGTCGGAAGAAATGAATAAACGCCAGACTTCAGACAAGCGTCTGTGGAAAAGACATCACGGACCGCAGGTTGAGTTGAGCTGATGCTCCTCCAGACGTAGGTTCTGGCAGATTCGATGTTTTCTGGGGTGGGCACTGCTACTGTACTATGCTATTATACCACAGTGCGATATCGGTATGAGGAGGAAATGCGTGCCAATGTGAAATTAAAACCCACCTCCATTCGCGCTGATTTCCCTCCTGACGTAGGTCCTGGCAGACTCGATGTTTTCCGGCGTGGCCTGCACCATCTCGTCCGGCCGCCAGGTGGTGCTGCTGTACGAGAACGCCATCACGTTGAACCGGTCGTGCTCGCGCAGGTCCTGTGAACGGAAGTTCAGGTTCAAGAGTCAACATTGGTGACCCCACGCAGGGGCGAGTCACATGGCAGGCCTAGGGAGCTCAGAAAGTTCAAATGCCGTGCATCTAGCTTCATGAACACCAATTTGCCACACTGTGTTAAGTTCCTGAACACATGTGAGAATGTCTCTCAATGATTTTCAAATATAAATAGCGTGCTACACATTGAAACCTACTGCTCTGTTTATTCTTACTCAAACACATTCATCTACATTGCTTATGGTGACCAGCCTCCAACTCTGTTCTGCCACTTGCCACATAATGTAATCCTACACCACAGGGTGACTGCTACAGCACCTGTTACCATGGTGTTGGTCGTTTGGGCCAGGTCGTTGGCCTTAATTGTTTGGAAAAGAATAAAGAAGAAATGAGCAAAAATGTATTCCTTTTGTGACTTGCAGGAGTGTTTAGGTGTTAGTTACCCTTCGTACCTTGAATAGAAAATTGTTCAAACAAACAAACAAACAAACAAACCTTTAGAACCTTAACTCAACCGTGACGGAGGGCGGTACCGACTTCCGACGAACTTTGACCCAGTGCTGACATGACGTCACACGTGTTCACAGCACTTGGGTCATAAAGCTGATGAAGACTGAGTGATTTAGTCCACAATTTCTGGTAAGTTAATTTCTTATTGAGTTGTATAACAGTTTAATTTTGTTCACAGACCTTGAGGATGGTGTTCATGGCATGCTTGGTCTGGCGCATCTTGGTTCCCTGCATGGACCCGCTCTGGTCTATGACAAACACGATGTTCTTGGGCACGACGGGCAGGCCGGACGGCGCGAAGTAGTGCACGAAGTACCCGTTCACGATCTGCCAGCAACGGAACATATTAAATATTACAATCACTTCGGCTCTGTGTGACAAGGACTCTTTACACGTTCACAATCTGGGAGGAACGGAACATAACGTCTAATGTTACACAAGGAAAATGGTAGTCAAGCAACTGGATAATGTTTTTTAAAACTGTCAAACGTTTTTGCTGCTTTTCCGTGCATCTTTTACTGTATTAATGTCACGCTGACTTTAGTTCAGTGCAGGGTAAAATATTGCTAAAATGTTCTGGTTAGTGCTTCAGACCAAAGATGCTAAACGTGTACTAATTATACTTCAGAATATACGTTCTTCACCTGCTGACTTGAACACTGTTACCCTACATAGAACTTTATCACTATTAACTGCTCCTAGGAGGAGCATAAGTTACTGTACAATAAAGGTCATTCATTCACTCACTCATTCATTCATTCATTCATTCATTCATTCATTCATTCATTCATTCATTCATTCATTCATTCATTCATTCATTCATTCATTCATTCATTCATTCATTCATTCATTCATTCATTCATTCATTCATTCATTCATTCATTCATTCATTCATTCATTCATTCATTCATTCATTCATTCATTCTCCCCTGCTAGAGTTTTTCACCTGGATGTCCCCGACGCTCATGTCGCGTTTGACGTCATATCTGACCAGGAAGTCGCCGCTGATGCCCGCAGGAGACATGCGCAGTTGCTGCAGGTCGGAGGGGCGGTACTGGATGTGGGCGCGGTTCGGAGACGGGCGGGAAATCTCAGCCCCCTCCAGCTCCCCGGCACCGTACGTGTTGTCTGCCACGCTGCGTCTGATGTTCGGTACATCTGGAGACAACAGAACAACGCTACAGGTTAGTTACAACGCTACAGGTTAGTTACAACGCTACAGGTTAGTTACAACGCT